TTATCCCAGTATTCCAGATTCTGTACAACAAAAGCATTACCTGAGATTTCCAGTTTCCGATCTGGCATGTAAGAGATTACAAAGTTGCTGCTCCATCTTAACAGCAAGTAAAAAGCTGAATAAATTGAAAAATGAACACCTCTTCTTAGATCCATAAGAGAAGTAAGATCACAGAGCAAACCACTGCCTGTGGCTTTTTGAGCCTCAAAATTGGAGAGACTAACAGATGAATATAGAGGATCACGGCTTACCTCTCATTCACTGCTGGTGGGAAAGCAAAACGATAAAACCACTTTGGAAGATGGTTTGGCTACTTCTTACAAAACTAAACATACTTTACTATACAGTTCAGCAATCGTGGTCCTTGGTATTTACCCAAAAAAGTTGAAAACTTATGTCCACACAAAAATCTGCACACGGATGTTTATAGCAGCTTTATTCATAATTGCCCAAACTTGGAAGCAACCAAAATGTCCTTCAGTAGGTGAATGGGTAAAACTGTGGTATATTCAGACAGTGGAATGTTATTTGGTGCTAAAAAGAAGTGAAGCTATTAAGCCATGAAAAGACATGGAGCAAACTTGAAAGCATATTACCAAGAGAAAGAAGCCAAACTGAAAAGCCTACACATTGCATGATTCCAACTGTATGACATTCTGGAAAAGGCAAAACTATGGAGACCGTAAAAAGATTAGTTGGTGCCAGGAATTAGCAGGGAGGAAGGGATGAATAGGTGGTGCACAGAGGATTTTTAGGGCAGTGAAACTACTTTGCATGATCCTATGATGGTGGATACATGTCATTATACATTTGTCTAAACACATAAAATGTATAACAAGAAGAGTGAACCCTAATGGAAACTATGGACTTTGGGTGATATGGAAGTGTTGAAGTAGGTTCAGCAGCTGTAACAAATGTACCACTTTGATGGGGGATGTTGATATGGAGGAGGCTATGAGTGTGTGAAGACAGTGGATATATGGGAAATCTCTGTACCTTCTGCTCAATTTCGCTGTGAACCTGAAACTGCCCTAAAAAATAAATTTTATTTTTTACGAAAAGCATCACCCTGTCTTTACAGCTTCATCTTCACTATTGCTATAGACTGGATGTTTGAGTCCTCCAAAATTCAGATGTTGAAACCTAATCCCCAATGTGATGGTATTTGAAGGGGACTGTGGGAGGTGATTAGGTCACCAGGGTGGAGCCCCCTTGAATGGAATTATTGCCCTTGTAAAAGAGACCCCAGAGAGCTCCCTCGGCCCTCCCACCATGTGAGGACACAGCTTGAAGACAGCCAGCTATGAACCAGGAAGGGGTCCTCACCAGACACTGAATCTGCCAGTTGCTTGATCTTGGACGTCCCAGCCTCCAGAACTGTGAGAAATAAATTTCTGTTGTTTATAAGCCACCTAGATTTTGGTATTTTGTTATAGCAGCCCGAAGAGACTGACAGCTGTCCTCACACAGAACCTTATACTCAAAGCAACTAGTTTTCTTCATGTTTCCAGAACATGTGTGCTTATCATCTTCTGCACTTTTTACTCGCTTTTAACAGTCCTAGCTAACATTTGTTGGACATCAATTATATGTCAATGAATGTGCTATACTCTTTATGTATTACTATTTAATCTTTACCACACTATGAGGTAGGTACAATTATTATCCTCATTTTACAGAAGGGAAAAATTAAAGTTCTGAGAGGTTATATAACTTGTTCAAGAGGACAGAACTGATTGCTGACCTCAGATTGAACCCAGTTTTAAAGTAGTGGGTTTTAAATGATACCTAGTAGTATCATTTTGCCTCCCACTGTCTGGAATTTCCTCCCCTCAACTCTGCCTCTTGGAATCCTGTTCCTCCTTCAAGGCCCATCTCAGAAGACACTCCCTTAAAAAAACCTTTCTTTATCCCCAGCTTGATGTCTCTTTTTGAGCCTATACAGTGCTTTGAGGCTCTCGTGCAACAGACTCATAGATTCTGAGAACAAAAAAATCATCCTCTTAATTTTCTACCTAATATTAGTTATTTTTATCTTTGCTATACAAATCTACCTGTTAGCCCTTTAAGTACAGAACTTACTTATATCTTACTCATCTTTGTATCCTCCACAGTATATAATGCAAATGACATAGTAGGTATTCAATAAATATTTACTGACATGATTAAAATTATTTCAACAGCTTTCAAGCCAGTCTACTTTGCAATCTCATCCTGTACATCACTGCCAAAATTATATTCCTAAAACACATTTTTTATCATGCAATTTTCTACAAATGCTTTCTGTTGCATTTCCCCACAGTCTGGCCCATCCTTGCGCATTCTATTCAATTTAGAACAGATTTTTTTTTTTAACTTCCACCCTCTACTGTAATCAAGCTGGTCTCGTGGGCCTCCCACATGGCTCGGTCATTCGTGCCTTTCTGAAATGGCTCTCTCCATTCCTTGGCCTCTCTGTCTTGCAAGATCCACCTCAAGTACTGCCTTTCCATGAAGTGTTCTCTGACTACTCCATCATCTTGTCTTTCTATATACTTTTATGAGACAAATTTTACTGCATGGTTTTCAACTTAGTCTCTATTTGTATCACATAAGATCGTTTTATCTCACCCGCTAACTTGAGAATACATGACCTTGTCTTACTCATCTTTGTATTGTTCTACGGCTTAATACATGTTTAGGCAATAATGAATAAATATTTGTTGGATTAATTTTCCTAATTATAATCTTCTACATGTTTTATCTTCACTTGCGATTCATCACCCATTTGGCAGTAGCTTCTGAGGCTTTTAGCCTTAGGTTTCTCTGCATCTTTTGCTCTCTCCCTGGTATATAATTCTATAAACAAATATAGTATTTAAATATATTAGGGGAACATGTCATTACAGTCTATTCCTGTGTACACTTAATGTATTTTATAAAATTAAAAATCATCCTGCAACATTCCAAAGCTGTAAATTAGATTTTTGCACAGTGGGTTCCTTTGAAATGGGGCACACTTGCTGTTGCAAATTTATTTAACCAGAGAGATTAAAAACAAAAGGGGCCGGCCCCATGACCGAGTGGTTAAGTTCATGTACTCTGCTTTGGCAGCCCAGGGTTTCTCCGGTTCAGATCCTGGGCGCGGACATGGTACCTCTCAGCAAGCCATGCTGAGGCAGCATCCCACGGAGCAGAACCAGAAGGACCTACAACTAGAAGATATAACTATGTACTGGGGAGCTTTGGGGAGAAGAAGAAGAAGGAGAAAAAGAGAAAGATTGGCAATAGATGTTAGCTCAGGTGCCAATCTTTAAAAGAGCAAAACAAAACCAAACAAGGGAATCTGCAATAGTGCATTGCTAAATCTTATCTAGAATGCTGCCTCCCTCACATCACAGATGAAGAAACTTCTCCTGAATGATGTGGAAAAGGGAAATGAAAGCAGAATGAGGAAGTCTAGAGCCTTTTCTAGGTTTTAAAGTCACCATCTCTTAGCCTCATGAACCCTGAAAGTTAGCTGCTTCAAGTTTCTCTGAGGAACTATCTTACTTACTCTTAAAGAAAAGGACTCTGAATTTTAGGATGATAATGATGCTAGTTTTATTCTCTGTTAATTTATGCAAGTGATTAACTTGGTGCTTGGAATTTAATAACAGACATTATTTCCATAGTTAAAATAGCTCACTTGTTACTGACCCTTCTGCCCAAGAAATATACAAAAGTGAGATGAAGAATACCATTAATAGAGTATAGAAGACTATAAAATCAATTAACTTTATATTAAAATTATCCACTGTACACTTTCTGAAGAAAGAAAATAAAAAGTGATTCTTGAATGACTGGGAAAAAGAAGGATGTTCTAAATTGAAAACATACATTATTTCTAATACTTTCTGTATAGATTATCTGCTTGGTGCATTATTCACTGGAAATATTTGATCCCAGTAGACATCCGCCATTTTCCTGCGTGCTTCTCTCTGTCACCTGGCAACGTGTACTCAAACAAGGAAGGTCAATTTTGCACCGAGATCAAAACAAGATGTAACTAAGGAGTGCTTGGGGTGCCAAACATAAAACCCTTCCCCCAATAGGTGTATAACAATGGTTGTGAGACACTTGATGTGTTACAATCAATTACAAAGTAAGTCATAAGAAATTTGTTAATAATAATAAAGTATCAAAATTTGCAAGTGATATATTTAAAAATTAATTAGAGCAGATTGTTATAATCTATAATGACATCACTTTGATAGACGTGCGTTCCAGTATGCTTTCCAGGAGAGGAAAGGGGCATTAATGGATAGTTACCAGAGACTGACATTATTTTGTGAGTGTACCCATGGAAATGTATCACCAATGTGAACAACATCTATCTTCTCTGTAGAGGTAGAGAAAAGTTGAGAATACATGAGCTTAAGGATGTCTGAAAGTATACATTATTTATTTTTGTCACCTAGCTTCCATTTTCCTTTCTTGTGGCAATAGCATCCTGATTTTAAAATGGGGACCGCTCCACACACAAACATTCCTGGGCTTAAAGATAGAAGCAACTTCACCCCTAGCTCCAGGGATGGCTGTAGGTCCCAAGGCTAGCCCATTGAAGATTTGCCTCCCTCTGGCTAGTGACTAGAAAAAAATCTTTGGCTGTGGTAACTAGCAGACGGAATAAAACGAAAGGCTTTTATGGGAACTGTATTACCAAAGAAACCCTAAGCCTAGCAGTCTATTGCCTTTTTAGGCTCCCAACTTGTACCACAGCTGAAGTTGAGTAGTCGGTCTCCAGAAAAAGCTTGTACCCCATGCCCACCTGTGACATAGCGGTGGAGAATAAGGGACAAGCAAGAACATCTAGCAGGAAGAGCCAGGAGCCATGGTGAACATTAAGGAAGATCTCTACAGAGAACAAACCTGGAGGTTCGCAGTTGGCTGGCCAAGAAACTCACTCCACTGTCAGGGATGAAGTCTTCCATGTTCCTGCCTAGCAGGATATAATGTATGCTATGGACCAATGATAATTGTGCACTATTTTCCATCCATTCTCCCCTTTCCAGAATTAGACTTTTCATTGTAGTTACCCTGTTCTTCTCCATCATTTTTTACATATATTATAGATAACAAGTTTTAGGTTGCCACGTCTCAAGGGGGCATATCCAAAATTGATGGGGAAGACTATATACATTAGCCCAAAATCCTTAGAGCTGTGTTCAGCTTAGGGCCCTAAGCTGAACACAGTAACAGGTAAGGCCCTGGGTTGTCTCACTGGGGAGGGGACATTGGTAAGTACTCTTTTATGTAGGTATGAACGTTTCTTAACAACAACCATTCATTCCTTACTTCCTTTCCAGCAGAACTCTAATTTTATTTAGAGAACATATTTAGAGAACAGGTCCATGGGCTAAAATGAAGTCAGAGAGGTAACCTGGGACCAGATCATGCTTGTAGGCTACTTAAAAATTTTGTATTATATTCTAAAGTCACTAAAATATAAGCTCCATGCGGTCATGGATTTTGTCACTGCTGAATTCCCAGAACAGTGCCTAGCTTGTTAAATAAATGAAAGTGTAACGGGAGGGATTTGCAGAGAGGAGTGATGTGGTCTGTTGTACAGAGAATAGACTATAGTGTGGGCTACAGTAAAGCAGAGCGTAGCATTGAGGCAGGGAAGTTAGAGGGCTCCAGAGAAGTCCAGGGGAGAAACGATGGGGACTTACACTGGGGGCGGGGGCGGAGAGATGTGGTAGAGGTAAAGAAGTGGCAGATTCATATCGTGTGTGGAAGACAGAGGGACAGAATTTGCTAATATGGACTGTAAGAGAAGCAGAGAAGACAGGAATAACAAAAAAACAGTGACTGAGCAATGTTTAATTCAAAATTACATGGCTGGATAATAAAGCTTTAAATAGTCACTAGAACTCTTTTTGATTCTTTTTTTTAAAAATTACGCTAAAATATACATAACAAAATTTACCCTTTCAACCATTTTTAAATATACAATTCAGTGGCATTAAGTACAACCATCGCCACATCTATTTTCAGAACTTTTTTGTTTCTAACAGACTTTATTTTTTAGAGCTGTTTTAGGTTCACAGCAAAATTGAACTGAAAGTACAGAGTTCCAATATATTCCTTGCCCCCACACACTCATAACCTCCCCCGCTTAGAACCTTTTCATCATTCCAAACAGAAATCTTGTACCCGTTAAGAAATAACTCCTCAGCATTTGGTAATATTCTACTTTCTGTATCTATGAATTTGCCTATTTTAAATGCCTCATATAAGTGGAATCATTTGTCCTTTTGAGTCTGGCTTATTTCACTTATCATGTTTCCAGTGTTCCTCCACGTTGTAGTATGTATCAATATTTTATTCTTTTTAAAGGCTGAATAATATTCCATTGCATGTATATACCATATTTTGCTTGTCCATTCATCTGTTGATGGACACCTGTGTTACTTCTACCTTGTGGCTGTTGTGAATAATGCTGCTAAGAACATCGGTGTACAAGTATCCATTTGAGTCCCTGTTTTCAGTTCTTTTGGATACATACCTAGGAATGCAATCCCTAGATCATATGGTAATTCTATGTTTAACTTTCTGAGGAACCATCAAACTGTTTTACACAACAGTTGCACCATTTTGTATTCCCACCAGCAATGTACCAACGTTCCAATTTCTCCACATCCTTGCCACACTGGTTATTTTCTACTTTTTTGTAATATACATCCTAATGGGTGTGAAGTGATATTTCATTGTGGCTTTGATTTGCATTTCCCTAAAGACTAGTGATGAACATATTTTCATATGTTTATTGACCATTTATATATCTTCTTTGGAGAAATGTCTATTCAAATCCTTTGCCCATTTTTACATTGGGTTCTTTGCTGTTGTTGAGTTGTAGGAGTTCTTTATGTATTCTGGATGTTAACTCCTTATCAGATATATGATTTGCAGACGTTTTCTCCCATTCTGTGGGTTGTCTTCTCACTCTATTGAGTAACACTTTGATGCACAAAAGTTTTTAATTTTGATGAAGTCCAATTTACTTTTTATTTTGTTGCTTGTACTTGTGGTGTCATGTCTAAGACAAGATCTGGAAGATTTATTCCTATGTTTCCAAGAGTTCATAGTTTTAGCTCTTACATTAGCTTTTCAAACCATTTTGAATTAATTTCTGCATATGGTGTGAGGTAGCATTCCAACTTCATTTTTTAAGTGTGGTTCTCCAGTTGTTCCAGCAGCATTTGTTGAAAAGACTATTCTTTCCCCTGTTGAATTGTCTTGGCAACCTTGATAAAACTCAATTGAACATAAATGAAAGAGTTTATTTCTATATGTTTAATTCTATTCCATTGACCTATATGCCTATCTTTATGCCAGTAATAACACTGTCTTGATTACTATTGGTTTGTAGTAACTTTTGAAATTGGGAAGTGTGAGTCTTCTAACTTTATTCTTTTTATTTATTTAATTTTTCATTTTTCTCCCCAAAGCCCCTGGTACATAGTTGTATATTTTTAGTTGTGGGTCCTTCTAGTTGTGGCATGTGGGACACCACCTCAGCAAGGCTTGATGAGCGATGCCATGTCCACGCCCAGGATCTGAACCAGCAAAACCCTGGGCCACCGAAGTGGAGCACGCGAACTTAACCACTCAGCCTCGGGGCTGGCCCCTAACTTTATTCTTTTTAAAGATTGTTTTGGCTATTCTGGGTCCCTTGAATGTCCATATGAATTTTAGGGTCAGCTTGTCAATTTCTACAAAGAAGCCAGCTGGGATTTTGATAGGGATTTTTTAAATCCATAGATCAATTTGGGGTGTATTGCCATCTTAATGATATTATATCTTCCAATCCATGAACATGGGATGTCTTGCCATTTATTTAAGTCTTCTGACTTTCTTTCAACAATGTTTTGCAGTTTTCAGAGTATAAGTTTTGCACTTCTTTGTTTTTTCTTTTATTTTTTTATTGAGGTCTAATTCACATACAACATTATATTAGTTTCAGGTGTACAATATGATTAAATATTTGTATATACGGTCATGCACCGCATAATGATGTTTCAGTCAACAACAGACCACATATATTATGGTGGTTCCATAACATTAGTACCATATAGCCTATGTGTATCATCTAGGTTTGTGTAAGTACACTCTATGATGTTCACACCATGACAAAATCGCCTAATGATGCATTTCTCAGAACATATTTGTCATTGAGCAATGCATGACTGCATTGTGAATTGCGATCACCACAATAAGTCTAATTAACGTCCATCACCCTACATAGTTACAAAATTTTTTTCTTGTGATGAGAACTTTTAAGATCTACTTTTAGCAACTTTCAAATATGCAATACAGTATTATTAACTATAGTTTCCATGCTGTATGTTATCTCATCATGACATTTATTTTATAACTGGAAGTTTGTTACACTTTAGTTAAATTTGTTCCTGAGTATTTTATTCTTTTTGATGCTATTGTAAATGGAATTGTTTTAATTTCCTTTTTAGTTTGTTCACTGCTACTGTATAGAAATGTAGTTGACTTTTGTATATTGATCTTGTGCCCTGCAACTTTGCTGAGCTCATTTATTAGTTCTAATAGGTTTTCAGTTAATTCCTTAGAATTTTCTGTATATAAGATCTTGTCATCTGCAGAAGCATAGCATCCTTACCCTGTTAAATCTACACATAGAGTCTCAGGAAAGCAAGCCTTTAGGCAATATATGACCAGAGGTGAAGAACTAGATTCCCGAAATCCTTGGACAAATTCAGCTTATAAGTATTATGAAACCTGTCAATGACTCATAAAGGCTTTCCAAGAGCAGAAGAGCCTGAAAGTTTAGCTAGAAGGATATGTACTGTAAAAGAATAAAATTGCCCAGGATTTCTGCAATACCTGTGCCACTAAAAGTTTAATGAGCTGTCACTTGTAAGTTTTCATTTCCTCCTCACAACATCTGTGAAGGATTGTGAGAAACAGAGTATACTGTAGTAGCTAAGAGCTCTGGAACCTTGAATTCAGAAGGAGCAAGTAATCAGCCAGCTCCATAATATGAGACATTCTACTGGACAAATGACCTGGCTTCTCCATGAAATCAATTACAAGGAAAAAAATGTATGCGTGTTTGGGGAGAGTGCAGGTACAGAAAATGACTGTCAAGGAATCCAGTAGACTTAATAACAACCAAATGCAATTTGAAAATCTGTTTGGACACTAATTTGAGTAAAATAAAAGTTAAAAGACAACTTTAAATGAGGAAATTTTAAAATGTTCTAAATATTAAATGATGCTCGGAAACAATTATTAATTTTGTTAGGTGCGCTAATGGCATAGTGGTTGTATTAAAAAAATTCCTCACTCAGAGATATATAATGAAGTATTTATGAGTAAAATGATATCTGGGATTTGCTTTAAAATACTTTTTAAAAGATGAGGAAAGATAAATGAAACAAGATTGGAAAATGTTGACAATTGTTGAAGCTGGATGATGAGTACATGGAGCTTCACTCTATTACTTTCTCTCTCCTTTTGTATATGTTTAAAATGTTCCATAAAATAAAGTTAAAAAGAATAATAATAAAATCTATAAAAGAAGATAAAAACAAAAAGGATTTGGGGCTGGCCCAGTGGCGTAGTGATTGAGTTCGCAGACTCTGTTTCGGCAGCCCAGGGTTCGCCAGTTTGGATCCCGGGTGCAGACATACACACCGGTTATCAAGCCATGCTGTGGCACGCGTCCCACATATAAAGTAGAGGAAGATGGGCATGGATGTTAGCTCAGGGCTAATCTTCTACGCAAACAAAAACGAAAACAAAAAACCTGGGTCTGTATTCTGACTCAGCCAGTTACTAGCTAGGTAACCTTGGGCAAGCTATTTGCAATCTGTAAAATGGCAATAATAAGGGTACTGTGTGTAAAACATTTAACATGGCATGGGCTGCATAGTAAAGCTCAATAAATGTTAGCTAATATTGTTATTATGAAAGAAAAATTATATGACAGATTTGATTGTATGATAATTTTAAAACTTCTTTGTGTTAAAATGCCAGTCATTAATTGCAGTATTTGTAACTGAGGACACTGGAAATAATATAAATGTTCACCTATTATGGTTTAGTTAAATAAATTATGCAAATCTTTACAGGGGAATTTCACGCGTCTATGAAAATAATCACGTTTCTAGGTCAGGATCTATGATCTTTATTGCTTAGCATCATTTTGGAGATATTATCTAATACAAAGAGATAAGAAAGAAATTACAGGTAAAAATTAGAAAGAAAGGGGTAAAATTTACCTCTATGGATGATACACTTATGTACTAAAAAAAGCCCAAGAGAATCAACTAAAAACATATAAACAAAAAGAATTCAAAGGTAGCTGAGTACAAAAACTAATATAACAGAAATGAATAGCTTTCAAATATACATCTAATTAGAAATTATATTGGAAAAGACCCCATTTAAACTGAAAAACAATAATAAAGATAATCTTCCTAGAAAACAGGTTAGCAAGAAATGAGAAATATCTATAGGAAGGGCACAAAAGAATACTTGAAAAAATCTAAAGAGACTTGTTATTCTTAGATAGGAAGATTCAATAGTATGAAGAGATCAGTTTTCCCGAATTAAGATATAAATTTAATGTGATCCAAATAAAACTGCCAGCAGGAGTTTTGATAACTTGATGAGCTGATTGTAAAGATCGTATGGAAAAAATAAAAACCAAGAATATTCAGAAAAAATTCTAAAAAAGGAGAATAACCTTATTAGATATTAAAACACATTATAAATGTGTAATACTAGTCAAGTATAGATATATATATTAATGTACCAGAATAGAAAATCTAGAAATAACCCCAAATACATACAGGAATGGAGTAAATTTGTTGCCGACATATCCATAGAAAAGGAAATTCTAAAGGATGTTCTTTAGGCAGATGGAAAAAAATTCCAGATCAAAATAATAGAGCTGTGTAGATTTCCTTACTGGGGTGTCAGCCATCTCTCAAGCTTGTCTTTGATCCTTTCAAAGCTCAACAAAAACTATTTGCAGATTGCTGAGGATGCTCTCTCATTCCTACACATTTGAACATGCTATTCTTTGGGTCTGGAATAATGTTTTTCACCTAGCCCATCTGCCAAACTCAGACTTAAGCTTCAAAAAATTCAGGAGTCATTCTTCTGTGAAGTATTCTTTCTTTGAAAAGACAGAGAGTATGTGCAGTGTCTCTTAAATGTTAACTTCCCTCCAATTTCTTGCATCTCCATTTCGTTTTTCATCTGTTATTTGTTCTTTACACCACTGCCAGAGGAATACTGCTAAAATATAGATTTGATCGTGCCTCTCTCCTGCTCAAAAATATTTGATGCCTACTAATATAGCTGTGTGTCTATAAAATAAAGTAGGAACTTCTTGAGACATGGGAAGCATTGAAGGTTCTCCAGGATTCACCTCAACCTGCTTTTCTCACCTCAGCTCTACCATGTATGCCTTTGCACTCTAACCTTGAGCCACCTCGGCCCTCAACCATTCACACACACAGCTCTCTGCATGTCTTTGTTCATCCAGAACCTTCAGCTCTCTCTCTTCTCACCCCACAAACCACCCCATCTTCTCTGCCCATTCAGATCTTTCAAAGTTCTGTTCTCAATGAAGCCTCATCTAAAATCCCATTAGGAATTAATGACTCTTTCCTGAGCTTGCATAATTAGTATTTATTTCATTATGGTTGGTATTATTAGTTGTTTATATGTCTGTTACTAGTCTATTACATTCCTGAAGTCAGGGCCATGTCTTACTAATTTGTTTCGTCCTCTTAGCCTTAAATACACTACTTACCACATGTTAATAAAGATTTACTCACAAAATAAGTAATTTTTGCATAGAACGAAATAAAATAGTGCCTGACATACGGTAAGCATTTAATAAATGTGAACTCTTCCAAGTGGTAATAATAGGTGCTCAATAAACATTTTGTGAAAAAATGGCAAAACCAGTTGTGCTGATTTATTATTAGACAGCTAAGTTCTTTTCTTTTTTTTTTTTTTTTTTGCTGAGGAAGACTGGCCCTGAGCTAACATCCATGCCCATCTTCCTCTACTTTATATGTGGGACGCCTACCACAGCATGGCGTGCCAAGCAGTGCCATGTCCGCAACCGGGATCCGAACTAGCAAACCCTGGGCCGCCAAAGCAGAATGTGTGAACTTAATCACTGCGCCACCAGGCCGGTTCCAACAGCCAAGTTCTTTAGAATTAATACTTCTTGGAAACCATTATAAAGAGTTTTGATTTCCTCTTTTGCTGACAGCAAAAGTTAAGGTTCTAGAACCTCAGAAAGGTCCTTAAGATATTTCTCAAGACCCAGGTTCATGTGTCACTTAATCTGGTCCCCCTACAGATAGAATTAAATATTGAAGTCTCCTTGTATCCATTTAATTCCTGAAATTTAGTATAGTTCTTAGTACAGTTAAGCACTTAATAAATGTTGGTGGTAGGAATGAACAAATAAATGAATTAGGGATGAAGTGTTTATGTGACAGTCTCTCCAAACAAACTGTAAGCACATCACATATAAGGAATATGCATTATTCATCTTTCTGTCTCCAGCACCTAGCACAATATCTGACACAAAATGAATGCTTACTATATAGCTATTTATTAAATTATAGACATGAGATAAATACTTGGTTTACTTTAAAAATGCAAAGAAGGAAAAATAAAACACATTTCTTATATCATGTAAACTTGTACCAAAGATTTATGAATAGATTTATGAATTGGGGTGAAAAACATAGAAATTTCTATCTTGAGGATATAGAAGAAGTGAACTTGGAGACTGAGAAGTCGGGACACCTTAGTCCTCTAGAATGGTTAAAGCTAACTAGTCGCTGTGAAGGAGAATCTAGCCTATCTGAAGATCTCTAGCCTCTAACTCTTTGCATAGAATCAGCCCCAGGACAACACAGTCAGGGCAGGCTCTGGTCACATCTCTTAGCCTGAGAAAGCACACCTGTTAGGGAAATTCCTACTGTGGTCACAGTGAAAAATAAAGGCCTTGGGTGGAGAGAAGGAAAGTAGTAAGAGTGTCACTTGAAGCACAAACAAATGGGGAAACGGAATGGACAATCTCTGTATCACAACATCTGCTTCAAGAAAGGCACACCAACTCCCTTCCAAAGTACATCAGCACTTGCACCATCGTGGAAGGAATGGGAGAGCAGGACGGGGTTGGCTGGCTGAAGTCACATCTTGGGGAAGCTGGCCATGTTGGCAATGCCACAAGCGTTGTTCTTATTCCGAGCCATGAGGATATAGCCTTTGTTTCCCCAGTTTTCTCCCCAGCTGTAGGACCAATCAAGGAAAATACTTAGTACTCCCAGTTTATTTATTCATTAAAACACTTTACAGAGTATTGTGCTAGGTGCTGATGGTATACAAAAATGAATAAGACAGTTTTTACCTTTAAAGAGTTCCAAGTCAAGAAATGGAGAGAAGGCATAATGACATAGGTCTCAAAGGTAGGAAAGATTGCGGCTGATTAAAGGGATCACAGAAGGCTGAATGTAAGAGGCGGCATTTGAGTTGAGGCCAAAGGCTGAATAGAATCTGGATCTATGGAAATGGAATGCTAGTGGAGGAGTGTGAAATGAGTAATAGAGGCAGGAAAGCATGGGGCGTGTGTTAAGATCACGTGGCTGAAAAATAGGGTGCCTGACAGAGTGTAGTAGGAGATACGTCTGGAAAGGTATATCGAGATCACTTTGAATTATCTTTACCGCCAGGCTAAGGAGTTTGACTCTGTGACCCATTATAGTGGAGGAGACAGCAAAGGTTTCTGACTGGGAGAGTGATATGATCCAATCTGTGTTTTAGGAACAGTAATCTGGAAAATGTGAGTCTAGAGCATAAGAAAGAGGCAAGAGGGGCTGAAGCTGGTGATCTTGGTTTGGGAGTATACCCCATAGGAGAGATGAATGAAGCTATGAGAATGGATGAGACTGCTAAGGAAACAAGTGGAAATGGAAGACTAGAGAGAGAGAGAGACAGGGAGGGAGGGAAAGACTGACAGAGAAAGAGAGAGAGAGAGAGGGGAGATTGGTCTATGTATCTTCCTAAATTGTTTTAATGAGCTTCCTTTTTCTGAACCAGTAAATTCTCCCATTACCCAATACATTTTACTTAAGACCTGTACTCTACCCCTGTTCCCTTCTCCAGGGGTCTGCAATGATCCTGATCCTGCCTGGGTGTGCCCCTTATTCCTCCCAGCTCTCTCAGATGCAGCCTCCAGCCTTGGCACCTGACCAAGAAAGGAGAGGGTAAGTGCTTGGGGCTGGGAGTCGAGAAAAGGAGAACACAGGACAGAATCTGTGGGAGAAGGAACACCTTCACAGAAAGGTGCTCACATTCACCCTTAGTTGGAACTGTGATATAAAAAGTTGCTTCAGATTTGAAGCAACTCCCAGCCTCACATTCTGTCCTTCCAGCCCTCTAGGCAGCAGCCCAACTTGGTCACATCACTGCAATGGCCTGTGAACTCTCCGGAGTCTAGGGCTCCTGCTCCTTGGAGCGCACCAAGGACAGAAAATTTAATCAGTGCTGCTGCTAGGCTGGTGTTGACCAACGAGGAAAGGAAAAGCATAATTCTCATACATCTGACCTCCTGAAGTCACAAGGGGCTAACGAGAAATGGGGAACCAAGGTACCCTGTAGTTTTTAAATTTATTTTTATTTATTACTTATTTTATTTTATTTATTTATTTATTTTTAAAGATTTTATTTTTCCTATTTCTCCCAAAGCACCCCGGGTACATAGCTGTGTTTTTTTACTTGTGGGTTCCTCTAGTTTTGGCATGTGGGACGCTGCCTCAGCATGGCTTGATGAGCAGTGCCATGTCTGTGCCCGGGATTCGAACTGGCAAAACCCTGGGCCGCTGAAGCACAGCACCTGAACTCAACCACTCCGCCACGGGGCCGGCCCCATACTTCTTCCAATAATAGGGAGGGAGACACTAATTTTTTGTTGTTGTTCATCTCTCTTTTCTAAAAAGCATTTCTCTTTACAGATTTCAAAATCTTTGGCGAGTTCTTATATATGTCTATCCTAAGAGTATCTGGAAGGGCAAAGAGCTGCACAAAGGGATATTAAAACTTTACATTGGTTGCCACTGCTCGTAGACAGATGAGGATGGAAACCTCCCTAAGGAACTGATCACAATAGAGAAAAAAGAAAGAAAAAATATATAATTCCAAAGCTCCTGCTGGTTCTTGGTGCTATTTTACGTTCTGGTTAGTTAGGTTGTCCTTCTTAGGGACTATGAGATCACTGAAGGCAGACATCCTGCTCATTTGTTTGTGTACATGACTAAGCACCTTGCACATGAAGCAGCTGCCCAACACATACTTTGAGTACTGTTGTCTGGCCATTAAATGTCACAATTAATAGCCTCTGATTGGGAAGGTAGAATGGAAAAGTCTGAGACAACTTTCTCTTGATTTGAGAGAGAGAAAGGAAGTGGAGTTGAGGCTGAGTGTTAAGAGGGTGATTGAATGATAAAAGTAGTGTTCCCATAATTACCTGTTTTTAATTATCCAGTGCTTGTTTCCCTTCTGGATCCCATAGCCCACTGCCAAAACCGCATGGTTCAGATTATCACTATTGCAGTTTTCATCATAATACACACCTAGGAAACAAACTGTCAAAGGTGAAACTTTCTGCAATCCAAGGGTCTCCCTGTGGGATCTCCCAGTCTAGGAGACCCTCTAGAATCCTGTCCCAGTCAGGAGGGTTTACGACAGAGATGTCTGCACTGTGGCAGCTGCTAATTTCTCTCTGGCAGACAGTCCGAATATGGAAACTAAGTACTGGAAATGCTCAGTGCCCTTGGAGAAGCTGCCAAGCCCACGTCCTGAGAGACAGCTGACCGTGCTCTACAGGAAGAGCCCCTTACCTCTGCTGTAAAACTGGAAGGAGGTCAGGCTTGCATCAATGGCCACAGAGACAGGTCCCACTCGGGCCACTGCCCTCTTCAGGGCTTTCTCGTTCCCCTGAGGGATCTCTCTGTACCCTCTGCACTTAGCTGCCTTGCCTGTTGGATTGTACATACAACTTTCATCCTGGAAAAAACAAAGTTGAAATAGGACTAGGACAAAGCAACAGGCAGTGAATTGGTGAGTAGGAAATGCTACCAATGTTTTGAGTGATGAGAGTGAACTAACAGGGGCAGCACAGTAGGGTCTCTCGAGAGGGTCTATTCTCGCCTCACCATTTAGACAACTACAAAAAGAATATGAAAAATGGATACTTTGCTCTATAAACAAAAATAATCTCCAGGGGATTTTAAAGCATAAATATGACAGGAAACACTATAAAACCTAAAAGAGAGAGAGAGAATATTTTTATTACCTCAAGGTAGAGAAAGATTTCTGAAATAAGATTTTACTTATTTTTTTACTTTTTTCAAAGATTGGCACCTAAGCTAACATCTGTGGCCAATCTTTTTTTTTTTTCTCTCTTCTTCCTCTCCCCAAAGTCCCACAGTACACAGCTGCATACTCCAGTCGTAGGTTCTGATGGCTGTGGCATGTGGGATGCCATCTCAGCATGGCTTGATGAGTGGTGGCAGGTCTGCACCCAGGATCCAAACCAGCGAAACCCTGGGTCACTGAAGCAGAAGCACTCAAACCTAAGCACTCAGCCACGGGGCTGGCCCCTGAAATAAGATTTTTTTTAAAGCACAAATCATCTTCTGGCCATGTAGTATGTGTGAGCCTCAGAGGGCAGGGAGGCACCAGCTGCTGTGGGGAGGAGGCCAAGGCAAAGGCTCAGCTGGAGGAGGAACTGGGCCCTATGCACATGTATCAGAGGAGCCAGTGTGAGGCAAAGAGTTTTGGCTGGACCCTTGGGCTCTCATGAGAGACAGGGGTAAAAGCACATAACATGATGCTAAAAGAAATTAATACAGAACTTAGCAATTTAGCTGGTGAAGTTCTAGCACTATGTTTTGCAGGTATAGTTAACAATGATATGTTCATTGGGAAGCCACATTTATGGAATCTAATGGCAACCCATGGCAGGGTGGTCTATTCTTTTTGGCAATTAATTTTCTCAACAGACTACCCTTTCAAAACCCTAAAGTTGCATCTACAAGAATACATTATCTAAATATTATAATGGCAGCATTTGACATAATATTCTAAGATTACAGTAGTCTCTTGTCTTAATAATTTCTCAAGATTCCTTTCTTCTCTGCCATATGATCCAAACCCTTGCTGCCTCCTAGTGCCAAAAATCGCACAGATCTACAAGCAAAATAAATTATCCTGGGAATGGATTCAGAAGGATGTCATGCTTTAAAGTCAGAATAACCTGCATTATGTCTGGAACGAACTTAAATTACTATTATTATCTGGCTGCTGACCTACCAGATTTCTTCTTTTTTAAATTTTGTCTTTACCTCCCTCCATTCATTCACATGTTCCTGTGAGAAGAGAGGTTCTTTCAGTTTTGGACAATAGAGTTTTTAAAAACTGTAAAGTAGAGGGGCCGGCCCTGTGGCCGAGTGGTTAAGTTCTTGTGCTTCGCTTTGGCAGCCTGGGGTTTCGCCGGTTAGAATCCTGGGTGCAGACATGGCACTGCTTGTCAGGCCATGCTGAGGCGGTATCTCATATAGCACACACAGAAGGACCTACAACTAGAACATACAACTATGTGCTGGGGGCTCTGGGGAGAAGAGAAAACAAAAAACAAAAAAACCCTGTAAAGTAGCTAGAAGAGAATAGTTGCCCAAGATTCAGAATGTTAAAAATGGAACACGTATCTTATATAGCTAATTCTTCATTTCAATTGATTATGAGAGCAAAATCATTCCACATTGCTCTAAAATGCTGAAGAGATCATTTGAGGGGGCAGAAGAACAGAAATTAGAAGTCAAATGCTCCTATTCCAAAATGGGGTTTAAAATATTATGTAATTTTTGTTTAAATTACTCAGAGTCTCTGAGTATTAGTTAAACTCTCTCTCAACAAACTGGTTAATATAGTACTGAATAAATGATGCAAGCTGTGGATGAGTGATCAACTATGAGTTCTGATAGTATTTATTTTTCTTTAATATAGTTGCACAAATCTTTAAATTGGCTGTCTGAATTAATCAATATGGAAAATATTATAAAAATAAATCTGTTTTTTGTATATACTGTCAGGATTCATTTAATTTTTTGATATCAAGTGACAATAAAAAGTTGCCAAAAGAATATTTGACTTTTCAAAAGAAAATTTTGCCATGTTTAGGTTATCTCACTAATTAGCCTGATGTATTTAGAATTAAAAAGTTAATCTGTGAGCCAGCCCTGAGAGTCTAGTGGTTAAAATTTGGTGCTCTCAACACTTGAGTGGCCCAGGCTCATTTCCCAGTCGCAGAACCATACCACCCATCTGTCAGTTGCCATGCTGTGGTGGCGGCTCACATAGAAGAACTAAAAGGACTTATAACTAGCATATACAACCATGCACTGAGGCTTTGGGGAGGAAAACAATATATATACTAAAAAGCTAATCTGTTAGGGCAGCTTTAGTATGCTGTACCTTATAGTAGCAGCCCCAGAGTTCAAATATCGACTCGGGACAAAGTAGTTCTGAAAATTGTATGTGGATTAAAGAAATTTTTTTCCAGGTTTAACGTCTAATTTCTCTGCCTTGTATATGTCACCACTAAAACACTCTAACATGGAGTAATAATGGGATGAAATTTACAAAAATAAAGTACTGTTTCGATGTGGCCAATGTCATGAGGATGTGTTGAAGTGACTTTACTATGTAGGTTGTTGAGGATCAAGTGAAATGGATTTGTTCAATCATTTACGTTAATGAGCATTTTATTTCAGCCAGACATCATTTCAGATGACTCAACATGAATAAATAAAATTGATGGCTACTGGACTTTTTTAAGCACACAAATTTCAAAGGAAAAGATTAATAATTTTACTACACTAAAATTAAGAATTTTTCTGGATTGGAAGACATCATAAAGAGAGTGAAAAGACAAATACCAATCTACAACACACATTGTATTAGTATCCAAATATCTTTTTAAGATTCCTAAAAATCAGTAAGAAAGAGAAAAACAATCTAATTAAAAATAGGCAAAAGATAGGGGATGGCCCCGTGGCCGAGTGGTTAAGTTCGGGCGCTCCGCTGCAGGCGGCCCAGTGTTTCGTTAGTTCGAATCCTGGGCGCGGACATGGTACTGCTCATCAGACCACGCTGAGGCAGCGTCCCACATGCCACAACTAGAAGGACCCACAACGAAGAATACACAACTATGTACCGGGGGGCTTTGGGGAGAAAAAGGAAAAAATAAAATCTTTAAAAAAAAAAAAAATAGGCAAAAGATATAAATAGTCAATTCACTGAAGAAGAAATGTAGATGGCCAGATAAACATACTGATGAAGGTATGAATCAATGGGATTTCTTATACTCTGCACGTAGAAATATAAATTTTTCCAAATGCTTTGGTAAACAATTTGACATTAGCTAGTGAAGTTGAAGATGCACGTACTCTAAGATGCAGACAATTCTGTTCCAAGGTATTGTTTATATTCTAGTAAAGAAACTCTTGCACATATGCATAGAAGATATGCCTGGGAATATTTATAGTAGACAAACAGATCTGGTAGATAAATCTTAAGTCTGCTACATATCTAGCGGTATGAATTCGAGTCTGCTGTTTTACCTCCTTAAGTATCAATTTCCTCACCGATAAAGTGAGGGTAAGTCTACCTTATAGGGCTGTTATGAGGATTAAGTGAGAAAATGCACTAAGCACATAGCTTAGCACACAGTAGCCATTATTTTTATTACTCAAACTTGTTATCCCTGCTGCAAAGGCCTCTGTGGCAAAGGCTCCATATTATATTATCTATCAACCCAGCTATATAAAAAGCCCCAGATCTCCTTCCTATTACTAAAGGATCTTGTAGGAGGAAGTGAGTTGATCTCTAAAATTACAGTAAATATAAAGCAACTTGTTTTTTCACTCATTTTATACATGTTAGCGTGTTAACTTACATAACTTGCTTAAACATTCCCAAAACCGACAGAGATCATACAAAATAAAGCCACATGACTCATGAAATTAGCATGGTGGGTTTGAGGATTTGTGATGGGAGGAGCTGAGCTGAGGGTTATAGAGACCTACTCGGAGATCCATGGGATAACCTGTCCTCTGTTTTTCCTCCAGGTCAGAGAGGTAGATAGGAGCTGTGGTAGTCTAAACTCCCCAAATTCTCCCAGATTGTGTGAATGTTCTTGGCCTTCTATGGGAAATTGTCCCATCAAGAAAGGAAGACAGGGAACAGAAAACGAGATTTCTGGAATTGTTTCCAGTACAAAATATCATGCTGGGAAAGGACGAGCCATCACAGCTGTATAACCGTATGGGACAGTCTCACCTGTCCCACATATGGGTAGGCATCTTCAGAGTCAATGCCCCGGTTCTTCTGCACATACTGGAAGGCATTTGTCATGTAGCCCCCTCCGCAGCCATCATTCTCAGATACGCAATCCACCAGGTTCTGGGGACTCAGATTTAAGAGTTTGCCAGTTTTCTTCTTGAGCTGACCCTCCAGGGCACCCACAGAGCTAAAAGCCCAACAGGAACCACACTGACCCTTAGAGGTATAACAGAGAAACTATCAGTCATTGCTGTTCACACTTTTTGTTTCTTCCCTGTACCTGCCTGATGAACGTCCATACATTTTATAAATTCCAGCATGCATGTCCCGTTTGCTGCAAAGCCTTCCTGTTTCCTTTCATTTAACATTTGTTGTTCTATTGCTACTGTTGCTATTGATAACTATTGTTACTATTGTTACCATTAGCTGTAGTAAAGCCATGCAGACAACTAGCTTTGCAAACCACTAGACGTGTGACTTTTGGTAAGTCACTAAACCTCTCTGTGCCTCAGTTTCCTTAACTGTGGATAATAACAATACCCTTAATGGGATTATGAGGATTAAAAAAGTTAATTCATGCAAAGGATTTATATGTTTCTGACACACAATAATCTCTCAAAAAGTGTTAGCTAGTATTATTGTTTGTTCGGCTAGATTATAAACTTTTCTTTCTTGTTCTGTTTTTTAAGATTGCGGGTTTCTTGAGGACACAGGTTATGTCTTAGTCATCTTGAATCTCTACTGCCTAGCACTATACCTGGTAGGTTCTGAAAAAGTGTGTTTGTTGAATGAATGTTAAATCAATCACTCATCTGGTTTAGCATTGTTAAGGTTGCAGAAAAACTGACATTGTCAAGCTGGTAAGAATGTAAGATTGTAAAAACGTTTTTGGAAAGGATTCTCTGTGACCTAACAATTCCAATTTTAGGATTTATTTTCATAAATATTTGTACACGTGCACAAAAATATAGACACAAGAGTGCCTACAGAAACACTATTTGTAAAAAAGAAAAACCAGAAACAACCTAAATGTACAAAAATAGGTGATAAGTTAAATATTGGAATAGCCTATATTCTCTCAGCATGGGAGAGGTACCTTAATTCCTTGCCCCCTCTTCCTGGTACCTTCCTACCTTAAGAGCAAAGAAGCAGAAAAAGGAAGAGATCATGCCAGCTTACATACCCATACCCAGTAGAAAAGAGAGTACCTGGTTTTTGACAGGAGTAACATATCCCTTCTTTCGATAATCAATGGAGTCTGGGGCTCTGCCTTCCCAGTCGGGGATATAGAGGGTGTCATTACTGCGAGTATGAGAGGGGGGTACTTTGAGTCCAGTCATCTTCTGAACCACCTCTTCACTGGTCTGGGACAAAGAAGAAAGAGGCCAGGCATAAGCAGAGAACTAAGGCAAACAGGGCAGGAAGCCAGGAGCTGAGGCACAACTCACCATGTCCCCCAAGTGGTTCATGGCCAGTTCATATGTATGGACACCAAGAGAGGCCTCAAGATTATGGATGGAAATATGCTTCAGGTTTTTTTCCCAAATTAAACGCCGAGAAATTTCATCCACCTAAACAGAGCACAGTCAGTACTGGCATAGACTGTTTCCTGTGTGCAAAGTTACGTATGTAATACTGTGCAGGTTTTTAGGAGAAAAGATGAAACTTACAATTACAGAGAGTTTACAATCTAGTTGGGGAACTGACCATGGGATTAAAAGCATGCAAAAATATGTAAACAAATACAAGTAATAGAATGCAAAGCTCTGGAAGGATGTATAGAAAAATTGCTTATGGATTAATAGCATTAATCTGAGACGTCTTCCCAAAAGAGAAATATAAAACAGTTACAAAGAAAAGGAAGGATAGGACTTGATGGAAGATGAGTTGAGGAGTAGGAATGAAAACTATATGTTAAGGTCTAAATAACAAAGGCAAGTTTGCTTCGTTGGAGTGGTAAAAGTATTTGGATTGAAGAAGAGAGCCTGGAAGCCAGGACTGGGGGGTCTCAGGTTCCAGCTCTCCCACCAGACTTCCCTCCAGGTCCCCAGGTACCTTGCTGTTATACTGCTTCCTGTAGGTCTTCTTCCACAGTTCCCATTGGGTGTCCAGTATCTCCTCAGGGTATAGAGCAAAACTCACCATGGGCAGCAGCAAAACCTTGAGCCCCCACATCCTGGGGAAGGGGATAATTAGGGGAGACTCTTCCATTTGCCAAGGGGTTCTTAGCCTGGCTTTGGATGAGGAAATAGCTGGAGCCATATTCCCAGACAGGTGGTTCTTAACCTTTGGGAGTCAGACTCCCAAAATCTTGCAACCCACTCTAGTCCCTCTTACCAGAAAAACACAAGCACACACAATAATTCTGGGGATCTCGAACCTGAAGTTAAGAACCCCTTCCTCAAGACCACAAAACAAAGGAAAACTAGGCTTTATGAGGAAGGTAGACAAAGAATAGATGGGGATTTACATATGATAAAGCAAACGACCATAGTCAGAGGGGTCTGGGTTTGGATGGGGTGCTGATACATCTGGTTCCAAGTATTCTGACATAGGGAGATTCAACATACACACACACACACAAACACTTGCACAGACAAGCGGAAAAGGGGTAGAAAATGGACAATCAGGATGGGCTGAGCACCTCTCTCTTCCAGTGTCCCCAGCAGACTTGGAGGAGATGGACAAGGTGAGCGCAAGGTGGGATGAATGGGGTTGGAGAACACACAAGGGAGAGATTTCCAGCTAAGTTTTGCTTCCCGATCATTTCTTCAAGGCATTCTTCTCTTCCTGGCCTACATTCTGACAGTTTTCCAGCTCTTGCCAGGAAAGGCCAAGGAAAGAGTTGGCAGTATTTGCTATTCTTTGAGATGTTTACTGTCTCCTCAGTCTTCTTATTCATTTCTTCCTCCTTTCTCTGCCCACTCGCTCCTCAGGCAGGAAACCGTCCTAATCTCAACCAGCTGCTGTGGGCAGGAAGGTTTTCCCTTTCCTTTTCCAACAACAAAAAAACCTCTCTGACTGCCTCATAGGACAAAAAGCCTCAGAACCAAAGTTAGAAGAATATTAAGACAGAAAAGCAATGTTCTATGATCATTAAATACACAGCTTTTCAGAAATTTACTCTAGCTTCACTCACTTCTTGCAGTGGCTTGCTGAATTAATTGTCCTCCATTTAAAGAACAATTTACAGTCTGCAGCAAGTCTTACAGCTTGCATAATTTTTTAATCTATAGCCCATTTTTTGTGTAATCTTTGCAAACTGGCACAATGTCCAGCAGGACATTTAATATCTGGAGTGTTAAGGGCTTCGAGATGCCTCAGAGTGGGAAGTACTGAGCTACCAGCTCCCTGCACCACTCCTCGTCCGCAGGGAAAAAACCCTCCATAAAGAAGCCACTCTCTGAGGGATGGGCAAAGGATTCCCCACATTCTTTGCTTTCACTAACCATGCACACATCCATACAAATCATAGAAGAAATCCTAACCATTTCCAGACAGATCTTTTCTGGCCAGGAAATGACCTAAGAAGGGCATGACTGTTTTCATCCGCAGCCTACAAAGTTCATTTTGATTCCCAAGTCACTATATCCCTAATACTTCTAAAATGGAGAACTGGCAGGAATGAGAAGCTAAAAAGATCTAAGAAGTTGAAAACGTTACCTGCTGATGGGGATCTGTTCTCTGGGCTCGTTTCGGCAGGAAAGTGTGGATGTGGGCGGATGACTAGGGGTGGTGGATTTATTCTATCAGGATTGCGGAAGTCATCTCCAGCGGTTGGCTGGAAAATTTGGATAGGGAAGGGAGGCGGGGATAAAAATGCTGAGAGAAGGGGGGTTAGGGAGGAGGAAAGGAGGCAGCGGATTTGCAGTGTTTCTGTGTGCATATGCAGTGTGTGCCAGGGTGGAGAGTTGCTAGGTACTTAGTTTCACATGACTGTCTTTGAGGCTGACCAAAAAAAGGCCTCAATAAACATTACTCAAGTTGGGATTTACCTTCCCTTTGGTGGATAAATAGGACAGTCCTGGTCTCCCCCATTCCTTCTTATTATACATTATTTATTACATTGGGAGATTACATCTCTTCCTCCCCTTTTCCTATTAATACCCAGTTCTCCAATTTTGAAATCTCAGTTTTTGAATTTGTGTCTGACCCTTACACCAGGGATGAGGGAATAAACACAAAAGGCTAGAAAACAGTATGTATGGGAAGCCACAGGCTCCAAAATCGTTTATATTTTATAAGCTTGTCGGCTAAAAGTTGTCTTTGCTTCCAGGCAGGAAGCTCTCCCATTCTAACATGGTTTTGCTGAGGAAGGCTATGTCCAAAAAATCCAGATGAAACCAGTTCTAAAAGTAACCAAAAACAGTTCTCCTGGTTATTTATGACAGCATTGGAATAAATGCCATAAGCACTGACAAACTCACATGTGACTTCTTTGTTGCTAAAACTCTCAGATGGTGGGATGCCTGATGAACATTAGCTGTCCTGTTATTAAAATCCCCAATCCACGTCCAGTCATATGAGCTTCTCCACATGCTTCCCACAACATCCAGGCATGTGACAGATCATGAGCCTAGTTCAGTCCCTAAACCACATCCCCAAATTCCATTTTCTTCCATAAAGAGATGTGGGGGAAGAGGAAAAGAGGGTCCTTTGAACAGAAAGGATAATACATAGGCTCTAGATTCAGTTTCCAGCTGGATTACATACACAGACCCTCAAGAACACAGGTTTATGTCTGTAGGTTTTAAGATTTGCTAATGAACTACATGGTCCTAGAGGGAAACCAGGTCCAGACCTGAATAGTTTAAATTTCCCCATCCCTAAATTCCTTTTAATCCAGAAGAGGAGGCTATGCTGGGGGAAGGGATCCAGATGTGCCCTACTGGCCTCAAGTCCCAACTCTCCCCCTCTCCCAAGGACTAGGGCAATCCCTCAACCCCCATGCCAGGGTCAGATGTCCCTGCTGATTTTACTCAGAATGAGTCAGGATCAGGAGGACAACCAAGGAAGGCTGAGTGATCCAAGCCCTATGATTCCTGATTCCTGAAATTACAGATGCACTGTGCTTTATGTTTGTATATTTGGAGCTCAAGCTATGAGTTCAACTAATTGTGGGTGTTTGTTGTTTAGGAGCTGGAAAGGAATAACAAAGCCGCGATCAAGATCACACAACACAAGAAAGTTTACAAAAGGAAAAAATACTTTGTTTTAAAATCTTTGCTACATGTCATTATTTTTGCCACTGTAAGGCTCAGCACAGATGCCAGCAGTACAGAAATGGCCAAGAAGAAAAAAACAAAACAATCAAAAATAAAACCCTGAAGGAAAAGAAGAAACAAAACCCCCAGAGCATCTTCTCCCTCCCCTCCCTTTCCCCCAAATCCCTATAACTGTACAATATTATAGTCCTGATCACATTTAAAAACAGTTGATTATTAAAAAACAAAGATTTCATTGGAAACTCAACTTTTTGGTTTCTTAAATTGTGATATAAATACGTATGTATACTGTATGTGTGCACATAGAATAAAAAAATAAACTGTCTCCTTTTCCATTCCATTACCTGGCACCAGACTGGAGACAAAAGGGAGGGAAACCCAGTAATGACATTCTCTCAGCCTCTCCAAGGCCATCTGTGCTCCTCAGTCCCCTATGGCTACATTTAGTATGTCGTCTCCTTATTAATTCAGTCTTGCACTTAAGATACTGGCCCGAGCCAATTAAAAAAAAGAAAAGGCTGATACACATGACTGTTACCTGAGGAAGGTAAAGAGAGTAGTAACCTGTATCCGCATTTATATGGCTATAGCTAATTGCTAAGTGACCCTGTCAGCATGGGAGTCCAGGCCCCATCTATCACATGGATTTATTACACTTGCACTATAAAGCAAAATCCAATCTCAAGATTGGAGAGGGAGCAAAGAGGAAAGAACTACAGGCCCAGAGAGACCTAAATCTCAGTTTCTTCCCAGACTGGATACTTGGAGTATGGGATGAAAGAGGCTACTTTGCAAGAAGGCTTGGTATTTGGTTTAAAACTCCAGCAGTGAGGAGTCTCACTGGGATTGCTAATCCAAGAAGTTGAGTTTCCATGCAGAAATAACCTCTACATAACACACAGCATATGTGATTCCGAGAGAAAAATGCAGCATTATCCTTACGGCCAAGTACAGGGTTTCTGAAAGTGTTTACCTCGCCAGCCTATTTCTGTAATGTGTGCAGATCTTCCATACAAGGTGAGAGCACCAAAAGCAGGAACGACCCAGCTTCATCACTAAATACCTTCAATGACAGACCAACCATATCAACAGAAGACTATATATTTGCTTACAGTTGCATATTGGCTGGGCATAGATGTCAAGTGCAGCAAAGACATTTATTTAAATACTCTTTGGCTGCAATACTAAGTGGAAAATACCTGGAAGATTAACTCCTTAGGACTCTTTGAAAAACACAGACAAAGACAAAGATAAAATCTGGGACAAATTTTGCATAACTCCCTAATAGGGAGAAAGAAACAAACACAGAGACAGATGCGCGTGCGCACACACACACATATACATATACATACAGACACACACACACCACTCACTCACTCTTGCGTCTCTTTCCAGAGGAACTGCTCACAGGCAGCAGAAAGAGCCTATGCGCACTTTCTAAAGCCCCATATATACCTACCATGTTTCATGGTCCTCGAATATGAGGACATTTCTCCTCTCCCTGACCTTAAGTCAGAATTTCTTTACAAAAACATGCCATAGTATCCAAGGCAAATAGTGGATGTCAGGTTCTCTAACCTGCCCCTTGACCCTCACAGAAATCATCTCGTCACAAATTTCTGGTCAGGAGACATAAGGAAAGGCATTCTTAAACTCACTCAGCCTCAATTTTTCAAAGTGTCCCCAAAGCCTTGAGGATTCACTCCATTTCTTCTATAAATGTTATCTCAGAGAGGCAGGAAGGCAAAGGAAATGTAAGGGAAAGAGGGTACACATTAGGGGTGAGGGAAGGGAAGGGAGAGGAACTTTTATTCTGTTTACAGACAGATTTGCATTTTGAAAACAAATGGTGATTTTTCTCCCCCACTCCTTATCCTCACCCCAATAGTTCTATTCTGAAAAGGAGGGAAACATAGTTAGATCAGGAAATTCTTCATTGTTGTAGCTGTTGCTCTGGTCTCCCAGCATGGACAGCATCTCCTAATAAGAGAAAAAGAGTAAGTTTGTCATACACCTTGATCCCTCACATTTATGGAGCTCCCTCCCAACATTCTCCTGAGCCATCATCCCCAGCCCCAGAGGTTCTGCTGTGTTGAATTCTCTTAGCCTTTCTTCCTCCCAGCAACTCTGACTCCTTTAGCTGACAACCTTTTTTCCTAGTCTCCTGTCTGTCTTCCTCCTACAGTTCTACATTTTTCCTCTTCACTAATCCTCAATATTTTCAAAGCAAGAAAAATCTGCTTGCCACATTTCATATAACCTCCCATAGACACACTGTATATGGAGTATCTCTTATCCTATTTGTTTTCCACCAAAATATGTTTTGCATTGTTTCAACCTGTGTTTTAAACTAGCTCTTCCTTTATCCTACCTAAGATTACTCCATTCATTCTTGAGATCCCCTCAGGATTTGTATAAATCAACCTTTATAGCTATAATCAGTATGTTTATACTCAAGCTACTGTGAAGTGGGATGTGGTTCTCCTTGAATTGGATAAAAGTACTTTCTTTGGCATCTTCACACAGCCTCGTGTCACTAACCACAGTCTGGTTAAAGGTTGTCTATCACACTAAGTTCACAATCTTTCCAATTAATGACATTTATTCCTACATGTCCCTACTCTGTCTCTCCCACATACCCCTCCCCAGCCTCCCTGCCCCAATCGAACACCTCAATCCATGCATGCTTCCTTCTCTGTCTCTCCTCCCTGACCCTTCCTCTCCTCCTAGTTTCTGGTTTTCTGAAATCTTTTCACCCTCTCACCTGGAAGACCTCAGGCTGGCCAGGTGGTTGTGCTGATGGCTGTTGAACATGTTGCTCATTAGAACTTGAACGATGATGAGGCTGCTGGCCCTGCCACTGGGGCCAGACACTCACACCCTCTGCTGTCCGTGTCTGGAACTGTCCTGCAGTCTGTCCAGTCTCAGGTGCTGGAAAGAGAGCAAGGAAGAATAAACAACTTCAATCTACTAACCCCACTGGAGAGGAGAAACACACATATAAGTACATGCAAGCATTAATTTTACTTAGATACCTTCTGCCCTTCTCTCTGCCAATTAATGCCTCTTGTATTTCAAAACCCAGGCCCAAATTAATTTTTCTTCTCTAGGTAGCCTTTGAAGAGTCCTTTGCTCATTTAGGTTACATTTGCATATTATTAAACTTCTAATACGTTGCATGCTTTTTGTTATATGTGCTAAAGTCTTTTTCATGTGGATAGGTTTTAAATTCCAAATGGACTGTCACCTTGCACTTCCCCATAATTAGGTTAGTGCACCCAGGACGCAAGCAAACCATTTTAACTATCAAACCTTTTCTCTTTAGTGCTGTGATTTTCCTGCTACCCTCCTTCTATCTAAACTCACCAAAGTTGGATCCCCGATTGGTGAGACTAGGGTAGGCAGCAGCACCAGGGGAGGCAGTGGACGCACCAGGGAGGGACATGGGGCTGAAGGAGGATGCAGTCTGAAAGTTGCCCACACCAAATTGGGAAGAGCGAGTCTTGGCTGTAGCCTGGGTAGCCACCTGCTAAAAGAGAGAAATGGATAGAGAACAATACATGGAACATTAACATTACCATACATACCATTCTTATGAGAGTCAACCCTTTGTCAATCACTGGATTCTGAGCCAAGCTCATCACTTAATTCCTATTGTATATTCCTTCTAATTAACTCCCAATCTCCCTCGACACTATTTCTAGGTAGTTGTGATAAAGTGCAAAAAGCAAAGAATTATGGGATTAAAATAAGTATACATTTAGAGTTGTGAGAATTAAATGAAAATGATTTAAATGAAAGCATTTTATAAACTGTAAAGTTATAAAAACTAGAGGCATTAATAACAGTACAGTACTACATAAGGAGAAAAAATACTTTGCTTCATTTTATTATTCAGTCTTATTGCATTCATTTGTTCTTAATGGTGTCCTTTTTTTTGGTAACTAAACATTTCCCTCACCATAAGAGTAATGCATATGCACTTGGAATATTTGGAAAGTAAAGGAAAAAAAAGAAAATCATTTATAATTCTATCACCAAAGACCCATGGTTAACATTTTTGATAATTTCTTCCAGTTTTTATTTTCCTATGGATTTTTTATACAATTGAGATCATACAGCATATAACAATCCTGAAGCCTACTTTTGTTTTTGTTTTTTCATTTAAAATATCACTTATGCAATATAAGCATACATTAATATATGAAAGAATATTAGCTTTAGGCTTAACATACATAAACACATAGAGCTTATAAGGATTTTTCAACACTTTTTTTTTAAACAGACATCAGTCTCTGTGTAAATTAGTAATTAACTTTCTCCTTTGTTCTTATAGTTTGTAGCACTAACCAAAGTGGACACTTCTTAAAATTTACCTCAAAACTAATCTGAAAAATCAAATCTGTTCAAGAAGTTCCGTGTGAGAAATTCTGATTTAAAGTGAATATGTGAAAAACCACAGACTCTGAGATTTTTGGATTATCTATGGTTTTTAATTATTTAGCTATTCCCAATAAAGATAAAAATTGGAAGGTAGGGGTGGGGATTGATGAGAAGATATCTATGGTAGACAATGATAATTTTATATATGGAAAGCAACCTAACCAAACAAAACTGTACACAGGGGACAGAGAAATGAAAAGCTTTACCTGGGCAGAGAAGCCTGGGCGGGTGCTAGGGGTCCAAGTTGGGGTTGCTCCCTGGGTGGGGTTGGAGTGACGGGAAATCTGGGCCAACATCTGCCCTGCAGAAGCTGATGGCTGGACGATGGTTACAGAAGGGGCCAGACCACTATTTCTAGGAGTGAACAAATAGTGAGGTAAAGGATTAAAAGGATGGGTGTACCACAGAATCTGGGAATTGCAGGACAATCTAGCACTATCCCTAGATTCCCCTGACTTCCCTAAGTTTAAGGAAAACTTGATAACAGAATTTAGAAAAGACAAGAAAGACTGACAGTCACACACTGATCAAGACACACAGAGATAAAACGCAGAACATGGCAATAGGACAGGTGCAAAAAACAGCAGGAAGAAAAGCAGCTTGCCTCATCCTAGGCCCTACAAGTTCCACTGCTTTGTCTGAAAAGACCAGAGAAAGCTAGGGAAGAATAAAACCTGGAG